GTGAAACCTGGGCAAAGATAACCACCAGGGTATGCAGTGCTCTGCCATTGCGTTCCAGATTTGGCATCAAAATTTATTGAGTTATTTTATACAACACTTGAAATCCAGCGTGCTTCTTTTTCTCTCGAAAATACGCATAAAGTTAAGGGAGTAACGGTACAGTATTTAGTGAGGAACACGTAACGTTTCGTCGTCTACGGTGCTTGGTGCGTTTGTCCAAGCGGTCTGCCCCCAACACAACTATACTTTGTTGTGAATTCGAATGAGCGGAGCGTGACGGTGTGTCTACTTAGCTTCATAATTGTTTTGCAGTCGATTTAAAACGAGTCTCCACAAGACGTGCTTGTGAAAAACATGAAGTCAATGCAATCGCCTGAACTGAATGAGACGCTATATCTATGTGCAGTGTCGAGTGGACGACGTTTCGTTTAAGCTGTCAAATACGACTTGCAAAGTTTCAATGGCGCAACAAATTTCAGACCTAGTAGTTTTAAGCCTATCGGAACAACAATGGCGCTGCTCAGTGCTTTTCACAGCACCCCACTACTCGCGCTGCGCGAAGAACGAATCAGAAACTGTAGAAAAAAGTCTGTAGACAGTTCGCTTGCTAACCCTAGCCAATCCAAAGCCTGCGCTTCCCATAACACTCATGGAGGTACACAATCGTAGCACCAGATTCCTAGCTAGGTATTATTGTATGAAACTCTACGCCATTATCGAAACGGCCAGGAGAGCTAAAAGTCGTAGTCCGCTAGATAGATAGATAGACAGACAGATAGATAGATAGATAGATAGATAGATAGATAGATAGATAGATAGATAGATAGATAGATAGATAGATAGATAGATAAGCTCAAAGTCACCAAAGTTCGTTAAAAATGTATCGCATTTAATAAAAGACTACCTACTCAATTGATCATGTTTGATGATTTAGTTGAATGAGTAAAGCCCGCATAGGCGCCCCGCAGTTTCGCGGCGGGCCAAAAGCCTCCCCAGTGCGAAGGGTTGTTGTACGTGATCGAAAGTGAGCACTGTATCGTCGAGAGAGTCTAAGGGGTGAAATACGACCTTATTCGTGAGACACAAGGCAATAATTAGCGCAGTTAAACACAAGAATGAGAGAGGGGAGAGAGCACGTGCTCTATCCTGCCGCGATAGCACACGTGTGTGAGATGTACGGGAAATCATATCATGGGCAGAGAGATTGTTCTACTTTTATAAGTGCGAAATGATTTTGCACAGTTAGAACGCGAGGAAAAAAATCTCATCAGTGACGTCAAGTTGGTGAAGATTTGCGACCTGCTATTGGCCAAAATGGCGAGGGCTATAGCTGCTTGGTCGGTTCTGGAGGGAGCACTGTCCTTAAGTGACATAGCATTGATGATAAAACTTACGTGATTCATGGTGACAACAAAAAACTAGCCGAGCGAGTGTACTTAGCCGCATATCTACAAAGAACGCCGAACGAGAACTGTCCCTAAACTCCAAAGAGCGTGCCCTGTGTCTGCCGACGTTGTGTGTGTAGAGATGGATGTTCTGTGGGAAGGAAGAGATATGGATGGCATTACGCTGATCATCTGGCTGCCGCTAATGGCATCCCTCATTGACCGTAGGATCATGGCTTAAAGAACATTATTTATTACTATCACCTTCTACACGCAGATATTGTAGTGTTTTGAGAAACGAAAAATGTTTGGTTTTGGAAATACACCAAGTGTAGAGGTAGAGATAATTAGGTATCATTAGGTAGATAAAGGTAGTTTTGGTAGTATGTATACATTGGTAGATATTGGTTGTGGCAGATTTTGCTAGGTAGATATTAGATATAGGTGTGAATAAATTTTCAGCTCTCATTCAGCCTGTGGGATTGGCCAATAATCAGGTAGCTTAAAAATATTTATATTTAAATTCCAGTGAAACAATGATTTCTCAATTCGGAACACTAAATAGTTGTTGAAAATAATATGTGAGAAAAAAAGTTAGACAAATTATTTCATATTGAAATACTGAAGTAGTCACGGATGATGCGCACATGTGAAAACATGATCCTCTTTTTTGCTCACGACTCTGTTAATAACTAGAATATAATAAAACAGCACGTTGCTTTTGTAATACGATAGCGTTAAAGAGCTCGCGTTCCGCAGAAATCCCAGAGTCGGCGCCGGCGTTGGTATTGTAGGTTGTGAGCGTAAAAACAACATCTTGTCCGTGAGCGAAAAATTGAGGAAGGTGCAACGAAAATTAGATTTAAAAATTTTCGGGTCTAAGTGAGTATCGAGCACAGGCCGTCTGCGTGACAGCATGTGTTCTACCACAAAGCGACGAGATTTGTTGAAGCTGTTTAAAGAAACGTGGCTGATCCTTATTCTGTTCAGAAATCGGTAAAACATGAAAGTGAGACATTTCGTCACAGAGGCAGTTGAGCGTTTTTTTCATTGTTTTGCCACAAGGGCAACGTAATTAATACTACAGCAACACATTGTAATGTAACACGAAGAAAAATTAGGAGCTCGAAATTTGTAGCGTGCCGCTAAAGCAAAAAACATGCATGGAAAGAACACACACAAGATGACCGTGGACTAACAACTGTCAAAGCTAGACATTTAAAGCACGCTGCTCTGACAGAAAGACAGATGCATGAAATGAACCGACTATTACGAACAGAATGCGCATGAACAACTGTGACAATTCTTACGTCACCGTATGTGAGCAGCATGCTCCTTTCTTAAACGCGGCTGCGGCAGCGAGTGAAGTGACCTTCGTGCTCACCCAAATAACGAGTCTGATAAGAGCGCGCACAGAAGCGATCATGCCCGTGGTGGCGCGCGCTCATGCAAACACGAGAGGCGACGACCTTTAGAGAGCGTCCACCGCTAGCTCTTCGCGCCAACTCGCTACCGATGACGCAAACTCGCTGAAGTTGTGGAGCTCTGAGGACCGTCAGATGGCATATGATGTAATAACTAGGTTGCCGTCGGCAAGCTTCAGAAATTACTTTTCGTGGCTGAGCGGTTTGGCGTTGTGGAGTGAGGGGTCGTATTTTCGACGCACAGCGACTAAACATGTTAATATCGTTTTTTGGCACTTTGTTAGTATATAATTTTAACGTCATATTGATGTCCAAAATACGTCAGCGGAGCGTGGTCGATTCCGGCACGTGCCATAAAACCCCATATGAATTTCACGCAGTAGAAATAGTCTCTTTAATGCATCATATACTACGTGGCAGAAGCGTAGACAAGGGTAGGCGTGAAAAGATGTGAATTCGGCAACGAGTGGTTGTTTTAAAAGTCCACTCATTACAAAATGTCCAGACGTATTTATTTATCATCCACAGCAACAGAAATATCTAGAAATTGGGCAGCTGGGTAGGTTTGTGTGGTTCTTTACGGACGCGCTGAGCGCCCTTCACCGATTCCCGAAAGGAATAATTATGGCCTTGTGGGAACTAAACTTAAGCTTGCAACAGGCATTCAGTTATACTTCTTTGTTGAGAAATGCACTTGCCTTCAAGGCATAAAAAACTATGAACCCTCTCCATGAAGGGAACCATGGTGGTACGCGAAGCAGCAGCTGTACGCAAGCGCTGACCCGGTTGAAACGGGCATCGACGCGGGTGTTGAAAGAACGGTTTGAAACGAAGCTCGGTGTAGCGTTTGCTCGAGTAAACACTTGCAACGCAAAGATACGGGAGGTGGGGCACATTGAAGACGCTTGCGCTCGGCTTCCTTGGTTAGCGTCTCCTCGGTGTAACCCGCGCGCCGTCTGTATTCTCGAACGCGATCGGTGTTTTTGACCCGCACTCCATCGGTGACACTGGTCTCCCACTGCTGACGCTGGCGTTCGGCTTCGCTGGCTCACGCCTCGTCAGTGTTGACGTCACCATTCGGGAATGCGATCGACTTCGCTAACCCTCGCCACCCCGTCGACAGCCGGGAAAAGTACACGCACACGAGCGGGAAGCATGCTGCGACGGCGTCCGCCCGTCGACGCGATCAGCAGCAAGCAGCGGCACGCTGTCCACATAGTCGGCGCCGCGACATTCTCGAGGTGGGGCGCGCGCACTCGCCGGCTCGTGGCTTCTCACTGACCGATAGAGAGAGGTGGCACGGGTGAGATGATGCCCACGTGAGGAGTTGGCTTCAGCGTAGCACACAGTGGAGAGGGTAAAGCGAGGGAGAGCTGACACCGGGCGGGCCCGTGGCAGAAGAAGGAGAAGACGTCACCGTGCACTGCTAGGAAGATGTGATCCAATGGGCACCGCTGCAACACCGGTGGTGAAGGTAGCGGTGCGGACGGACGGATAGCATTGCACAGGCTAGGCAAAGAGCGTCTTCACATCCATTATATTGCGCTTGTATGTGTATTAAATCTGTGCCGTTAGACTGGTGGGGTGCATGAAGTGACGAATTGCCTTGTAGAATGTGTTTGAAACGGCCAATATTACGCGCACATCCATTCGTTTTTGCGACATGGTTGAGACATGTACCGAGAACAGCCGCAGCTTAGCAGCTCACAAGGCGATGCGCATGAGGCCTGATCACGCTATCACGACCTTCTCTTCAAGGCGAAGCTCAAGCGTCCTCCATTTTTTCATTCGCGTTCAGCTTATTCATTAGGCTTAATTTATTTCTCTCATACTGTTCGTAAAATAAACAGGGTAAAAAATTTTGAAAGAACCGGAAATTCTGATGCAGCACCTTGAGAGACCATTCTACGCTTTCTCAGCAATGATTAGACAACACTGCCGATCGGTAGCCGATGCTTCTGAGAACACGTCAACCAACTAAAGCACTGCATGTTGCCTCCAATTTAGTAATATATCTCAGAATCAGCTACCAATCAATCGCTGTTTTCTCAACAAGTGTTTGCATAAACCTGAAGGGCCCATGTCCGGTTGTAGGTGAGTGCAGTCAGAAAGAGGATATCGTTAGCAGCAGTGGTAGCGGGTCTTACCCACCATCGCATATGCCCTGTGACTAAATAGACGACGAGAAAAAAGAGGGCACTCGCCCGGTAAGGCGGCCAGCTGCGCATCAAATTCCAAAATCACAAGAGCATCTGGCCGGCTAGCACGAATCTGCGGGCACGACTCGATGCTGGCTACAAGGACCAGTAAGCAGCCATGAGCGGATCCGAAGAGTACTACCGCGTGCTCGAGGTTCCGCGGGATGCGACGCAGGACGACATCCGACGTGCCTATCGGCGCCTTGCACTCAAGTGGCACCCGGACAAGAACCCTACCAACAAGGAAGAGGCCGAGCGCCACTTCAAGGCCATCGCCGAAGCGTACGAGGTGCTCTCGGACGAGACTACTCGGCGCCAGTACGACCTTTACGGCCCGAGTGGCTATGACACGAGCCAACAGAGCAACAAATCCAGCCGCAACACTAGAGGTGGCCTCTTTACTGCCGCGTTTCGCGACCCCGAGGAATTGTTCCGCGAGTTTTTCGGTACGGCCGACCCATTCGAGGAATTATTCCGTGCCGCCCGCCAGGGCAGTACCACCAGCGCGCAGGGACACTCCAGTACGCGCCAATCTTCGCACCGGCCGTCGAAAGCAAACGTTCCTGGGTCAAGCCCACTGTGGAGAGGCAGTACCAATTCGCAGCAGGGTGGTGTAGACGGCAGCAGGATCCTTCGTCCTGGTGGCTTCCTCTACGACTTTGATGATATGCTGTTCGGTGGTTGCGGCACCGTGCCCAGCGGGCCTTGCGGCCTCGGTTTCGCGTCACCTGGCGGCTTCACCGGTATTCCGACCGAGCAGATGAGCTCGGTGCGCTACATGAACGGCAAGCGCTGCGAGACGCGCACCATCGTACAGGACGGCATCAAAACGGTGATGTGCTTCGAAGACGGTCGACTGGTCTCACGCACAGTTAACGGCGCGCCGCAAGAAATGCCCAAACAGACGGAAGACGGCGGCAAGGATGAATCGACGCAGACTGGCCGAAGTGGGCTCAAGGTCAGTGAGAGCCTGCCCTATTCGAACTCAGGTGAGGGTCCCGCCCACCGGAGCAATAGCAAGGCCGCAAGTGCCGGTGGCGCCGTGGGCGAGATGATGCCCAAGCAAAAAACCACGCACCCACACAAGGGGTTACCAAGCCGTCAGATGAGCAGCGCGCGCAAAAGCCGCAGCCGCAACTCAACCAAGAGCACCGGCAAGGCACCTCACAGAGAATGTAGCAACACAGAATGCCTGAAGGCCAACACCTCCGGTACCGCAATCCTGCAGCCCCCGCCGAGTCAGCCACCACCGGTGGTATCGCAACGGAGCGTCGGTGTTCAGGTGGGGCTAAAGCGGAAGACGTCGAAGAACACCAAGTGAAAAAGCTCGTCGCATATGCTGCAGAAAAAAATTCTCAGATAAAATGCGTAGGCATGCGACTTGAAAGAGAGAAAAAAAAGAAGCTGTACTTCCACACTTCAATAATAAATTATTATTTTTCATGGCAAGTAAAGTACTTCTTTCAGTGGGGTCTTCATGTTTCAGAATTGCGATATTTTGGTATTATATTGCTAAGGTCATTTCAATAAGCTGATAGGCTTTGAACATGGGCTGCTGGATTGGAGTAATTGCGGCCGCGTAGGCACACCGCATTCCCAAGTGCATCCGCGCTAACACACCTTCTCTCTTTACGCCGAAGCGAATACATACAACGACCTCTTATTAGCAATACAAATCATTAGGATTTGCATCGTCATATACAAGATTATCTTGGAGCATTAAAGGATTCTGTTTTTACAGCGAAAGCTGTTATATCACAAGTCGGGTCACGCGCCGTTGTCCGCCGCTGCCACCACCGCCGAACACGTCGTTGTTCGCCGCTACCGCCACCGGTGTCCGTAACGACTTCGTACGAAATTAGAAAAAAAACCTATCACCAATGACACACTGGGGATCGAAACCCGGGTCTGCTGGGTGGCAGCGCAGTATTCTACAACATGAGCTACGCCGACAGTTGTGACTTGTTGGCAAACCTAGCACAAAAGACACAGTGGGGCCCGAACCCGGGTCCACTGGGTGCCAGCCCAGGACCACTGAGCTAGGATGGTGCTTGTGACTTCTTGGCAAACTAGCTTTATGCAGGCTTGATGTCGGTAATGCAATTGCGTTAATGCGACTTATAAAGCATTTTAAAACAGCGACAGAACAACCAGTTGTCGCACAATGCGAATAGCGCAACTAGTAAACCTTCCAATGCTCCAACACATTACAAAAGCTTCTTCTTGTTCCCCAATTAAATGTGGCGCATACCCACTTCAGCCATAATTCTTCATAATAGTCAGCCGCTGCATGAACAATTGACACGAAATTCCTTGCACGTGTTTAGCGGATACCACGCTTCTCAGAAGAATGGCGCAAAATAGCATAGCCAATGCCGGCCTAATACCCAAAAGCTTATTATTACTGCCCTAGTGGGTATCAAGCGAGTGTGCTTGCAGTAACATCTTGGAAAAAAATGTTAGTAATCAGTTAGTAAACGCGTGTGTTTACTTGTTTCCAGAGTATTTTACTACCTTTGCGGCATACTTTTACCAGCCACTGGCTAGTACAGCTAGTAACTTTAGCCGTTATTAGCCAGAGAACCTTTCATAGTGTTTTTAACTAAGCAACTACTAAGCCATCTACGTTGCCAGGTCTTTCGTAGATTCCGCAGTATATTTTGCCGTAATGGTGATATCGTAAGCAATTATTAGGCAAGTTCTAATTTTATTGACTACCTTGGAATAGAAGTTTCATGCTACGTAATGGCACACACATAAGTAGACTCAGATGATGATGGACAGGGAACAACAATTATAAACTCTGTGACTGCTAACCAGTACGCCGTGTGTGGTCCATAAGCACGGGCATATATAGTCTTCTAGCTGCTGCTACAATAGAATTCTGCTATGTCCAAGTATTGAAGATTCACTTGTGCATGCATTTGCATGCGTGTTCTCGTAATCCGCTCATATGAGTTCTCCTACTCATATGAGCATATAATCATGTGAGTATAAAACCATAAGCTCATACAAACTCATATGAGCATATCATACGCTCATATGAGTCCATATGAGCATATGGGATTCACATATGATCATACATATGTGAATCTGATTGCATCATATGCTTCATGTCGTCAATGCTCTATAAGTATGTTTCTGTGATGCGCACTTTCCCCAGTATAGTTACATGACGTAATTAAAAGTCATTAATATTTTACCAGGGTCACGTCAATTCGTTTTTTATCCTATGCTATTGTAATACAATCATATTGATTTGGCCACGCATACGAACGTTTCACAAAATAGGCGTAAAATCATTTTGCGGGGAATACTAACAATTTAGTAATGAACTAACCACTTGAGTGAGCACATATCCCTTTCACTAACTAACTACGTAGTACTTTTAACTACCCAACGATGTGCTTTTACCCAGCCTGTTAGTATTTGGGCTAGTGTTTGTTACTAGCCCAACGAGATAGTGCCTTTCACGAGGGTTACTTTTACTAGCTGCATTTACGAGCTGGTTAGTGGATTCAGTGACAAGTAACGGGCTAGTACTTAGTGAATATACCAACTTTTTTTAAGAGTGTAGTTACCCAATGAATGTTTTGAAAAGACTCTGGAAGACCACTCTTCTAGGTTTCGCTGTGAATGTGCTGTGCCTTTCGCGCAGGCATGGCGTTTTTTCTTGTTCACGTGAAGCGAAATTCAGACTTGCCGCATTTACTCAAATTTAACGTGACCATGATTGCAATGCGAGGAGGGCCTTTTTATTTCGTCCAACAGAAAAAGAAAATAACCGCCCAAGCACTCCGTACAAATGGTTAACCAGCGAAAGCTGAAACGTGTGGTTCGGTATTTAGTAGTGGGTTCAACTTCACGTGGCACTGAAGCCTCTCACAAATAATGAATACATGTTCGTGGTTCCTAATGAGGTTAGACGCAGGTTTGGCTTGGGTTTACTACAGTGTTTATTTCAAATGCCGCCCATGTGCCTCACATAATCATGGTCATGGAGAAGTGCAATGAGCCGTTAAATGCGTTTCGCAATGCGTTATTCATAGTGGTTGTTCTCGAACCACATGTGGTCACAGACGTCGCAGCCGAAGCCTAAGTGCCACTAAAGAAACTCCAGCCGAAAGTGGGCATTCACCGCAGAGAAGGCCGCAACGCTATTTGCTCGGTGTAGGTACTGCACCATGTCGCCTATATAGGCAGAAAGGAGTTGGGTGCCTTTTCTCCTTCTCCAAGAATCACGTATTTATTGTTCGGCGCGGCGTTGTTGGAAACGTTTGACTTTGCGAGCTAACTCTGCGGCGTGGTTTGCAGGATCCGGCCGCAACTAGCGCTAGCCTTCCCGTTCGCAATTCAGCGCGGCTTGGAAGGCCGCCTGATTGTCGTTACGCAACGGCTGCCTGCTTCGGCCTCCAGGATCTGTTTTACAGCGGATGCTGTTGTGAGATCAGAACACGTGTCACGAGCGGCCCAATAGTTGTCCGCCACCACCGCCGCCGTTGTCCGTAATGAGTATCGCAAGGAATAAGAAGAAACGAAAATTCATTGAATCAAAAACACAAAGAATACAATGGAACTCGAACTCAGGTCCACCGTGTGCCAGCAGTGTTCTACCACTGAGCCACTCCGGTGCTTGTAACTCTTTTACAAACTGGCCTGAGGCAGGATTGATGTCGGGAAAGGAATTGCGTTATTATGAGTAATGGAGCGTTTTATAAAATCAAACGAACAACCATGCTTAACAAAATGTGAATTGCGTAAAGAGTGTGTCGTCCACTGATCCAACCTAGTACAAAAGCTTGTTATTGCTCACTTATTAGCTGTGGCACATGAACAGCAATGTCACACACCGCGAAAGACAAGACTGGACTATGACTGAATGTGTGCGCGTGTGCTACTGAATGTGCTGTGGTTATCTCTCTTCCCTCTATCCTCTCCATCTTTCAGACCCCCCTCCCCCTTCCATGCGTAGGGTAGCAAACCAGCTGTCTATAGGCTGGTTAACCTCCCTGCCGTTCTTTCTCTCCTATTTTCCTTCCTTCCCTAGTCAGGCATACTTTTTCATCGTCATCAGCCATAGCATAAAAAAGTGAACAAAATTTCTAGAAAGTGTGTAGTCGGTACCAAGCTTCTTCGAAGAATCATCACAGATAGCAGATATATTTACAGCCTTTACTACACAAAAATTATGAATATTCAAGGCGTAGTGGGCACCCAGCAAGTGCGTTTGTTGCAGTTACTCAAATAGTGTTAAGAAAAGGCTCTGAAAGGCCGCTCTTCTAGCTTTCGCTGTGACAGTACAGCGTGTTCCGCGCAGAACTTGAGTTTTATGCCAGAACTGCACCACCAGCTCGACAAATGTGAGGTCTCTAACGTTTCTACCGTCGGCGCTCTTCTAGAGTTGTCCGTGGCATACACATGTAGAATGTTTCAGGAGAAACTGATGCGCGCTCCCTCGGTGCCACGGCTGTGACGAGAAGGTCGAGTCACTCACTCAGCCAATGGTACGCGTGCTTGGGTATCCGACGCTGAGAATGACGTTACTGATAGGACAGCCAATGTGTACCTCTCGTGAGACCACTGGTGGACGTTTTTTTCCCTATCAATATACAGCTTGGGCTGTAAAATGAAGACCGCTAATGCATCTTGAGGCCAGCGGAGGCATAAAACAGCCCACTTATTATTCAAATACTGCCTCAATATGTCATCTTTCGCACCACGCCCCATTACGCGTTCAATTTCGTTCGCAAATGTCTAATCTGTCGAGAGAGAGAGGAAGAAAAACGTCTTTATTCATAAAAACATGGACAAGGAGGCCGTGGAAGAAACCACTAGTCCGGGGTCCCTAGGACGACTCCAGCGATGAGCCGGGCCCGCTGTATCACAGCTCGAAGGACCCCGGGAAGTTCATCGCGGAGAGCATCATCCCACAGATCTTCTTTACGTAAAGGGTGAAGGAAAGCAGGTAATGGAGGAAAGATGTTCGCAGAGCACTCGATGGAGGCATGGAAGGTCGTGGGCGAGTTTCTACCGCCAGGGCGACGGTCTTCATAGCACTGCGGGTAGAATTTATGAAGTGATACTAAATTGGGAAATGTTTTAGTCAATAGCTGGCGTAATGCAACTGCCTCCTCTCGCGAGAAAGATGGTGGTGGCGCGCTCTGAGTGCGACCGACTTTCCTGTAGTGACGAAGAATGTCTTTGTAAGTGAGAAGAAGATTCCCCCACTCCGAAATGGTCGCCTCGCCTTGCCGGGCCACCCGGAGGGAAATTTTGCGGGCAACAGCGTTTGCGCGTTCATTGCCCGGCACAGAGGCATGACCAGAAGTCCAGTGTAAGTAGATGCGAAAAGTACTGTTTGACTCAATTAGTGGAATTTGATTGAGAATTTGTGGGCTGCTCTTGGGATGCCAAATCCTGATAGGAAGGCCAGACATGTCT